CAACAGCAACAACAACAAAGGCATTCTAAACCTCTGGCAGTCACCATGTGTTCGTTTGATTGGAGAATTTTAACGTTTTAAATTTATCATTGTAAAACCAAGGACAATTTTACAACTTTTTAAAAACATATTTTATTGATTATGCTATCACAATTGTCCCATTTTTTGCTCTTTATTTCTCTCTGCCCTGTAACCTGCCTCCCACCAGCATTCCCTCACCTTAGTTTATATTGTAGGGTCATACACGTAAGTTCTTTGGCTTCTCCATTTCTCCTACTATTCTTAACCTCAACCTACTTTTCACCTACGATTTATGCCTTATTCCCAGTATGTTTCATCCCATTCTCCTCTTCCTCCTCCATGCTAATAACCCTCATGTGATCTCTATTTCCATGTATCTGTTCCTGTTCTAGTTGTTTGCTTTTTTAGGTTGATAGTTGTGAATTTGTTGTCATTTACTGTTCGTATTATTGACCTTCTTTTTCTTAAAGAATAATAATTAGTGATGATGAGCTCCTTTAACTTGACCTTATCTGGGAAGCACTTTATCTGCCCTTCCATTCCAAATGATAGCTTTGCTGGATAGAGTATTCTTGGAGGTAGGTCCTTGCCTTTCATGACTTCAAATACTTCTTTCCAGTCCCTTCTTGCCTGCAAGGTCTCTTTTGAGAAATCAGCTGATAGTCTAATGGGCACTCCTTTGTAGGTAATTGTCTCTTTTTCTCTTGCTACTTTTCAGATTCTCTTATTTTTAATTTTTGGTAATGTAATTATGATGTGCCTTGGTGCATGCTCCCTTGGGTCGAATGAACTTCTTTGGGACTCTCTGAGCATCCAAGTCTTCCTGGAATGCCAGATTGGGGAAGTTCTCCTTCATTATTTTTTCAAGTAACTTTTCAATTTCTCGCTGTTCCTCTTCTTCTAGCACCCCTATGACTTGGATGTTGGAACCTTTAAAGTTGTTCTGGAGGTTCCTAAGCCTCTCCTCATTTTATTGAATTGTTTCTCCATTCTGTTCTGGTTAAATGTTCATTGCTTCCTTCCGCTCCAACCATTGATTTGAGTCCCAGTTTCCTTCCCTTCACTGTTGGTTCCCTGTACATTTTCCTTTATTTCATTTTTCACAGCCTTCACTTTTTTTCTCTATTTTGCGAGCATACTCAACTATTTCTGTGAGCATCCTGATTACCACTGTGTTGAACTCTGCACCTGAATGCTTGATTATCTCTTCATTGCTTAGTTGTATTTTTTCTGAAACTTTGGTTTTCTCATTTGGGCCACATTTTGTTGTTGTTGTTTTGGCAAGCCTGTTAGGTACTAAGGGGCAGAGCCCTAGGTATTCACCAGGGCAGGGCAACCCACATTACTGCATTGTGGTGCTGTGTGGAGGGAGGGGTCCACGAGGGAACAACACTACTTGCTTAGCTCTCAGCCCACTTTCAATCACTTCCCCCAGTACCCACAAGCAAATTGGGCCCTTCTGGTGCTGATTCTTGGGTGGGTGGTTTTGTGTACATTCTAGGACCCTGTGGGTTTCTCCAACAAAGTCTGCTATAAGGCTAAGAGTTTTTCCTACCTCATCCCCCACAGGTGTTACTGCCAGAGAGGTGTTGAGGCTTTATTTTCCCTGGGTTGTGCAGTCTGTCTTGCTCCCCAATTGTTTCTCCCGGTTTAGCTGCATGCAAATGTGAAACTGCCAGGTCCACCAGCCATTGCCTTGCTGTGAGTTCTCTCCATCCCAGCTGCTTGTCTTTGCCCTGCCTACCAGTTTGGATGAATGTTTCTTTACTCCTTGGTTGTTGAACTTACACACAGTTTGATTTTCTGACAGTTCTGGTTAGTTTTTGGTTTTAAATTTGTTGTCCTTTTTTTGGTTGTGCAAGGAGGCAAAGTGTATCTACCTACACCTCCTTCTTGGCTGGGAGTCTATAACTTTTTTTATACATAGCTCCTACATGTAGGAAAATCTGTCTTTAAGGAGGGATAAATTACTCTAAAAAAAGTGAATCCTAGATAGTTTTCCCTTCGAGTGTCCTGTTGTTTAAATAAACGTCTGAAAATTTAAAAAAAATTGAAAACTATCAAAATCTACGGTGAATAGTAGGAAGATTTGACCACCATTCTATATGCTTCTAAAATTTGGCCTATTATCATTCATAGTAACCAGATCATTTTCTTTTATTCATACACATGAATGTTTGCACTATATATTCAAGAGTACTTGAATTTTTACACATACAAACACATAAATACATCTCACACACACACATGCCAAGGGAAACAGGTCCTACTTAACATCCCTCTGCAAATCCTCTGCTCTAAAGGTGGGAAGGATTTTAAGCAACTCATAGAGTGATAAGGATAAAAAAAGACAGTATTTGTGGAAACTGCCTTCTGAATTTTCTCTGAAGAAATTTAATTTGATATTTTTCATGGATTTAGAAAGAGTACTGTGTTCCGGGACTTCCGCCAAGATGGAGACGTAGATGGAGGATCCACCTCGCCTCTGTGCACAACCAAATCTAAGAACAACTATTTTTAACAACAGTCACAACCAAGCCACACGGAAAATCGACAATACGGAGTCCAAAGGACAACTAGATACTCGGCTGGACCGGTACGAGGAGCCAGGCCAGCAGCGGAGCAGGTTAGCAAGAAAAAATTCCCGGGGCGGTGCGCGGTGCGCCCAGGGAACCGAGGGCGCGATTGCGAGCGAGCTGGCTGCAGGAGCGCACAAAGAAGGGGCGCGGTGGGTCGCTCAGTCTCGCGCATTTACGTGCGGAGAAGCCAGTGAGAAGGGAAGCCGGCGCAGGGCAGCAGGCTCGCGCAATTCCGATCGGATAAACCCCAGGCGTGCGGAGTGACTGGAAGCACTGGGCTAGCGGAGAGGACCACCATTGCTCCCTCTCTGACCACGCCCCCACACACAGCGTCACAAACCAGCGACCTGGGTCGCCCCGTCCTGGTAAACAACTAAGGCTTCGCTCCGCTCACTTCACAGCACGAATAGACCAAAAATGGCTCTAGGACAACTCAGAGCCCCAGAACCGATAGACCTAAGTGATGAAGAAATAGCCAGTCTTTCAGATGCACAGTTCAAAACACTGGTTATAAGGATCCTTACAGAACTGGTTGACTTTAGTCACAAATTAGAGAAACATATGGAAGCTAAATTAATTGAAATGAATGGGGATACAAAAGATTCCAATAGTAATGGAAAGAAAATTGGGACTCAAATCAAGGGAGAGAACCAGAAGGAAGAAAAAAAGGATCAAATAGAAAGGAATGAAGAAATAAGAATTCAGAAAAATGAGGAGAAGCTTAGGAACCTCCAGGACATCTTTAAACGTTCCAACATCCGAATTATAGGGGTGCCAGAAGGGGGGAAAGGCACAACCACCAGTTGAAAAATTATTTGAACAAATAATAAAGGAGAATTTCCCCAAGATGGCAAAGGAAATAGACTTCCGAGAAATCCAGGAAGCTCAGAGAGTTCCAAAGAAGTTGGACTCAAGAAGGAACACACCAAGGCACATCATAATTACATTAGCCAAGATTAAAATGAAGGAGAGAATCCTAGAAGCAGCAAGAGCTAAGGGGACAGTCACCTACAAAGGAGTTCCCATCAGACTGTCAGCTGATTTCTCAAAAGAGACCTTACAGGCAAGAAGGGGCTGGAAAGAGGTATTCCAAGTCATGAAAACCAAAGATCTACAACCAAGATTGCTCTACCCAGCAAAACTTTCATTTAGAATGGAAGGACAGATAAAGTGCTTCTCAGATAAGACCAAATTCAAGGAGTTCATCATCACCAAACCCTTATTATATGAAATGTTAAAGGGACTTACCTAAGAAAAAGAAGATTAAAAAGATGAACAGTGAAAGGACAGCAAACTCACAGTTATCAACAACCACACCTAAAACAAAAGCAAACTAAGAGGATAGCTAGATCAGGAGCAGAACCATAGAAATGAAGATCTCAGGGAGGGTTAGCAACAGGGGAGTGGGAGGAGGGGAAGGGGAGAGAAGGTACAGAAAATAAGTAGCATAGACAGTAGATAGAAAATACATAGGGGCGAGGGTAAGAATAGTAGGGGAAATACAGAATCTAAAGAATTTGAGACACATGTTCATGAACTAAAGGGGGAAATGGTGGGGGAAGGGTATGCAGGGTGGAGGGGAAGGGAGGGGGGAATAGAGCAAATGTAATGGCATAATCAATAAAAATAAATAAATTAAAAAAAATAAAAATAAAATAAAAAAACAGAAATTTTTATGGACAAAAAAAAAAAAAAAAAAAGAGTACTGTGTTCCTAAAAAAAAACAAAAAACAACAAACCCTGAAGTTTAAAAAGCCTTATTTTTAAAATGCAAAATTCTTAAAAACTTAGATATAATTGACATATATTATATCAGTTTCAGGTGTACTATGATTTATATTTGTATATATTGTGAGATGGCCACCACAATGAATCTAGTTAACATCTATCACCAGTTACACATTTATTTCTTATGAGAAATTTTAAGATCTACTACTCTCTTAGCAACTTTTAAATATGCACTATATTACCATTAACTACAGTCACCATGCTGTGCATTACACCCCACTGAATTATTTTATAACTGGAAGTTTGTACCTTTTAATTCCTTCCCTCATATCACCCACACCCTATTCCCACCTCTGGCAGTCAGAGATTGTATCTATGAGCTTGTTTTTTGTTTTGTTTAGTTAGATTCCACATATTGGTGAAATCATATGGTATTAGTTTGTGTCTGATTTATTTCATTTAACATACGTTCCAAATCCAAGATCTATCTATGTTGTTGCAAATGGCAAGATTTCCTTCTTTTATGACTAACGGTCCACTGCATACACCATACTTTATCTACCCATCCATCAATGGACACCTAGGTTTATACAAAAAGGCTTTCTTAAATGTTAACCCCGTCTTCTCATAGTTCTAGGTTCAAAGCCATTCAAATTAAACAATGCATAACACTGTTATTAATTATGAACATTTATTAAGTACCAAGAGTATAATGCAAAGGCTGCTATATAAAAACATAATTAGCAATATAGTGTCCCTGACATTGAGCTTACAATCTAAAATGAAATACAATAAGAATGCTGTTAGCTTACACTGAAATTTCCTGAACTTAGAAATGGCTATTTTGGCAAATAAGTGAGGCAAAATGACCTATCATTTTGGGTACAATGTTAATAATAAGGCTTACAATATGATCTAAAGAATGTTTTATTTGTTTCCAGACATTTCCTCCAATTAAACTAGGCTTGATAAGAAAAAGAGCCCTTAGAAATTTGGTAAAAACAATAAATTATTTAAAACTGCCTTGTTGGACTTTAAGCAAAGAGATACTTACTAGCCTGAGTTTTTTACAGCTATGAAAAGACCCACAGAAAATATTATGAACTAAACCAAGTTTGTCTTCTATACCAATACAGTTTTTCAACTTTTTCCTACTTCCCATGTAAGGGCTCCAATGATAGCCTTATTAAGATAAAATACCCTAACAAGTTGAACTTCCAGGAAATATTATCTTATATTTAAAAAGAAGAGTAAGCAAAGAGAGCACTGAGGAGGCCTGGCTGTGTAAGGTACACAAACAAAGCAGCTAAGTTCAGTCCATGCATCTTCGAAGTGATTAAGAATATAGGATGTATATGTATATGTATATGCTTGCTTTTCTGCTTTGTATTTCTGGTATAGAAGTATTTTAGAATTTAGCATCAAGACCCTATTGCAAACTCTGTACTATTTTGCCTATATCTACATATAATATTTAATAAATACATTTAAGGTTTTCATTGCTGGTCATAAATTAGCTGAAAAAGGCACACTGGAGGGAGTTTTATTCTTACTGTCAAATGCAAAGACTATTTTAAACTTCTGAACACATGCCATCTTAAACTATATACTTAATTATTTTCAATCATTTGTGATTCTTTCAGCTCTAAAGAACACTAAAAATAAGTTAGTGGTTATAAGTTGTCTGAAACCTGAAATAGGATTTACCCTGTAAAGTGCATACATACACTTTTTAATACATGCATAGAAATGTTTTAATGGCAGAGTAGTAGCATTCTGAGATAATGTATTTAATGGCAAAACAATATTTTAGTAATTTTTGGAAAAACAGTAATTTTCCCCTTAAAAGTCCATCTTGGTAACTTTCTTTTAAATGATAACACAACAGCTGCAACATTCAAATAATGTTCATGACTAAATGCTTTGCGTACAATTTTATTAAGAAAGAATGATCCAGGAACTTCAGAATAAAATGTTTTATGAAGTAGAGTAATTCACTGTTTTTGACCTAAAGTTGAAACATCCCTTTCTAATTTAAAAGTGCAGCTTATGCATCTTACAACAAATAAAATCCAATTAATTATTAGATCTGAAATGAAAAACTTGAAACATTTATCAACATCATTCTCTTCTAATAAGACAGCAGAAGTTAATTTTAATGTTTCCCAAAAAGGGATAAAAAATTTAAAAAATATAATCATAGCTGTGGTAAATGAATCTGAGTTTATAAATCCTAACCAATTCATTTATTTTTAGTTGGTACTATATAGAACAGCTAGAATTCCTAATTAAATTATGTGTTTTTCTAAGGCAAGGCAAATTTATGTCTAAAGCAAAGATTTAACTTGATTATAAAGGCAATATGACCAAAACATATATATTTACTTTTTTAACTCATACAGTCCAAGCCACATAAAATGTAATTTCATGTCCTATTCTACAACTACTCTTTGACATTAAGCTTAGAAGCATAATTGCTGTGATACATACAAAAACTTTCATTTTTCCAATACTGCAAATTTTACTGTAATTTCAAATAAACTTTTGCACAAATTTTTAAAAAGGCAAACTTATATTAGCTAGCTATAACTACTGTGTTAACTGTATAAAGAAAGAAGTTCACAAGGAAAACAAAATACAAAACTAAGCATAATTTGAAAAAACTAAGCATAATACATTAGCATAATTGCATTTAACAACTATGACAACAAAAAAATCAAATGAAGTAGTTCTGAAAACACTTGATTCGTGGCAGCGTGTATATTCATTTTAAAGCCATCAGTTTGATAAACATACTAAGATTCCATTAAGACTTGTTTTTCTTGGTTATTTTTCTTACTTGTATACTCCCCAATAGCAATTGGAATTAATTTTCTTTTGAGTACAAAATGCAATAATGTTTATATTTTTTCATCTGAGTAATGTAAAATCTGACTCCATACTTTCATTTTTTAAAGCTGTATTTGACTTTAAAAAGGTAACTAAAAACAAAAGTTGTAGAGAACAAAAAGGAAAAAGGAATTATGGACAACAGTGTGGTGATTTCAGTGGTAATGGCAAAAAAAGTTGCAGTTAAATTTTTGGACCTTAATTAAAATTTAACATTTAAGCATGCTTTTTTTGCTATGAAGTATAATCTTCATTTTAATAAATTGGTAAATGTTCTTAACAAAGGCAAATCTTGATTGCATCTATTTTAAATATGATGACACAAACATTTTTTCTTTTTTAATGAGAAAAAGGAGATGAAGAAAACCATTCTTATAGGTCCTCTTCACTCAATTATTCTGAAACAGGTTTAAATAGGGTGGATCAGGTCAATAATGTTGGTACTCTCTTATCTTTGCAGAGAATAGAAAAAAGTAAAATAAAGGAAGTTATTTCCTTCCTAAGGTCTCAGCTAGTTTCTTAAGTCTTTTCTTCAGTTCCAACGGAAACTTCTCATAGCACTTCTTACAGACTGGTTTCATATCAAACTCCACAAATTTATTCCTAAAGATAATAATAAAAAATTAGTGGAAATATATTTAACATAAACATGTAAATAATGTTAAATAATTTTACTGGTGTAAATGAAGATATTATATGTTAGCAAACAAGTATAACTCTAATCTCAATTCCTGTCATTGTGGTAGATATAAAAAATTAACAATATTTAAAATCAATTGTCCTATAAACTGATCCTATAGACCTACCTGTATAACACAGAATGTGTATTACATTGTAGCCAGGGCTAAGTATACAGGAAATCTAACATAAATATAATTTAGGTAAGTAAAATTAGTCACATTTTAAAGTACCATGAGAACACTTTTAAAATTACTTGAAGAAAAGAATTGTACTTCTGTAATTTAAAGGTACTTTTTATTGAAGGCAAATTAATCTTACTATTTTAAATTATATAGTTATGTGGTTTCATCTTTGCTGGTATAAAATAGTTTGCCTCTCATCCTCCCTTCCCCCCAAAAATCAACCTAAAATATCATCTGAAAAAAATCTTAAATCAGAATGGGTTATTTTGGTTGATTGTCTGACAGAAAGGTTGGTAGGGGAGATACAAGTTTTTAATCACTCTTAATGAACACAAATGAATGACACTGCCTGTGGTTACATTTTGTGAATGGTAGCTTGCCATTCTTTAATTCTCCTTAGAATTCTTTAATTCTCCTTAGAATTCTTTAATTCTATGGAGAATTAAAGTCTTCTTTTTAAAAGCTAGAGCAATACATATTATCAATTTATTTGTAAAATAGTTATGGAGAGGACAAGTTTTCAGATGGCCTCCTATCTGTAACATTTTGCTAATTTGTGATTATAATAGCTTATTACTTAGAAGTCCAGGGTCTTTAATTGTGAACTGAGTAAATACACAACTTTATAACCAGTGCATTATTTTTGTAATTATATTTAAGAAGCACTTGTGGATGCTAAAACATTTTTCTAGTTGTTTTTCAGAGATACTAATGCTGGCAGTAATGCAAATGTGTTACATTTCAATGATCAGTTTGATTTAAACTATTAAATTAAAAATTTCTCCCAAAGTTTTCCTAGAACAGAAACTATTAAAACTATAATTTTTTAAATTGCAGGAAATGATCACTTCTTTCTCAGATACTAAGCAAAATTTCCATTGTCTTAATACCATATTTGAACCTTAATTTGTCTTTACAGATAAATAAACGTGAAAACTGAAAAACTAAGAAAACTTCTCAGAATACAATGGTAACCATAAAGGAAGAATGGGATAATAATGCTAGTAATTCAAAAGAATTTCAAAGACTGAATTATTTTTCATAAAAATCATGAATAGAGACTGGAAACTTCAAGAAAATGAATTCATTGTCCTGAATGGTGTGCCTTTCAGTGTGTTGGATGTCCTTCTGCAAATCAAAAGGTCATCAGTTGATTCCTAGTTAGGGCATATGCTTGGATTTTGGGGCCATGTCCCCAGTGTGGGGGGTGTGTGTGAGAGGTAACCGATTGATTTTTCTCTCCCTCTCCTTCTTCCATCCTTCCCCACTCTCTAAAGATAAATAAATTAATCTTAAAAAAAGAAAATAAATTCATTAACAGTAACCTTATGGGCATTATATGAAAGCACATATACAGGGTATAGCACAAGTAGGTTTACAATTATAAGTACATGAAATAGTTTATTGTTGTATTATTATTTATTAATTATTGTATTATTTTCCATATGAACTTTAAACTGACTTTTGCCCCGCCTGGTACATACACCAAAGATAATAGAAATCTCATTCACATGCTTAGATCTGAAACACACTGAAAACATTTAATATATTACCAAACTTAGAACATGAGACACTTGAAATTTACCAATTAAATTAATTTAGGCAAAGAAACTCAAAACTAGGATTTTAACAGTTGTAATTATCAGACAAAAATAGTTTAAAACTTTCCCAGTATCAAGAAATTGACATTCTTCCCTTTGAATACATTAAAAAAGAGAGAAATATTATGATTTAAAAAAAGGGATGCCAGAATCTGCATATTAAAGGAAATAAATGCAATATAAGTGAAGTACAAGCTGGTATTAAGTGTGAACCTTACTATTTTAAGCTCTATACTTTTAATAATCATGTGAAAGAACCAACTCTACAAAGGACGAATACTTGTATTTTACTTGGTAGCAGTAATAAATACACCCCAAACAAACAAATAAATAGTAAAAGACAAAACAACAAAAATATTCTAAAGGACTAACCAAAGAAGAAAGTAGTGAAAATGATAGAAGGGATAGAAAAGTTTACAAACAGACAGGCTTTTTCTTTTTCTGTTTGTCCTTATCCTTTGCTTCTCTCTCTCGTTTGGCAAGTCGCCTCTTAAATTCTTCTGGCATTTTCTCATAACAGTGTTTGCAGACTGGTTTTAGATCAATTTCAACAAACTTATCCCTTTGAGGAGGACAAAGAAGAAATAGAAGAAAGAACAGAAAACAGTTAAAGGAAGAACTTTTACTTTCAGAAGGCCTGAGTAGAAAGAAGAAAAAACGAATCAAACAAGTATCTTTTTAAAAATTCTGTATTTTAAAAAAAGGTTACCCCCAAATTTTCAGTGTTAGGATTCACACTGAACCAAAATGTATACTTACTTGAGTGTTAATTTAGTATTGCAGGTAGAACAGGCAAAACAGTTCACACACCAGGCCTTATTAAGAGCAGAGACCACTAGAAAAATAGGAGACAACTGGTCACTTACACTGGTATGAGAGGTGGGTGAACTGAAACTTTCAACTCTAACACAGAATTAAGGTTATTTTCAAGACACTTCAAAGAGGTCCTCAGAGGATTGCTTGCAAAAGAATCACACAGTTAAAAAACCTTAGTGTTGTTAATTAATGCTTACTGAATTAATTTTATTAACTTTTTTTTTACATTGAAAACACACAAACTGAACAATTTATGTCTTCTATGGCTGTAGGCTTCATCTTAGAAAAGATTATTATTGCCCTTTTTAACCTTTACTTTTTATTTTTTAAAAAAGATTTTATTTATTTTTTAGAGAAGAGGGGAAGGGAGGGAGAAAGAGAGGGAGAGAAGCATCAATCAGTTGCCTCCTACATGCCCCCAACTAAGGACCTGGCGTGCAACCCAGACATGTGCTCTGACATGGATTCAAACTGGTAACCTTTTGGTTTGTGGGCCAGCACTGAGTAACACCAGCCAGGTTTCAACCTTTATTTTTAAAAATAGAGATCTACTTTCATTCTTCCTGCATTTAAACTGTATCAGTTAAGGTTGGAAGATGGCAGTGAGGTAGGTGGGAGCAGAGCCCACTTCCTCCTGTGCAAAGGTAGAACACCTAGCCGATCTGAGGAACAGAGTGAACAGCCAACAGAATCCCAGCATATATGAAGGTTGGTGGCTAAATTGTAGAAGACATTGAAAAACAGATGATAAGGAGATTGCTTTGTGATGATAAGGTCCCTGGGACAAGAGTAGGGACCAGGACTGCTGAATTCCCTGGCCAGTGCCTGCCAGAGCCTACCTAAGGATCCCTGGATGACAGCCAAATCAACAGCTCCCTCCTTTTCCAAACAGGGAGGATAGAGCAACACCAGGATGGATTTGGTTGCTTGAAGTCGCTGGGGGGAATAAAGACAAAGTGGAAGATGCACAGGGGCAGTATGCACCCACTGAGACTGTGGATACTGGCTGGGTCATTACCAGAGGAATTGGGAAGCTGGGCAACACTTGAAGAAGGCAGAAGAGTTGGGCCGTGTCAGACCATGACCCAGATTGTCTCCAGTCTGGTTAGAAAGTTGGGTTGTGTGAGAGGCCAGGAGCTTATTAGGAGCAGCAGTCTTGAACAGGAGTATTTTGTTCAAAAAAAGGCTCTTGGTCGCTGGCTGCTGCAGCCACAACCTCAGCGGTGCCCCCGGCCATGGTGGCAGTGCCCCTGCTCTCTCGTGGCTGGGCTAGCTCACTAAGAGGAAGAAGAAGGTACCCTCCACAAAGGAGAGCAGCAGGACTCATGGAGTTAGCAGTCCCCAGAAAGACTTAACTCAATGGAAGAGCTGAACTACTCTGAAGAGACTTTGAGAACGTGTAGCACCTAGGACAGCAAAGAGTGAGAAGGTGGTGTGTGAGTTGCCTATAATTAGTGTACCTCAAGGACAGCACACAACTAGTGGACTGACGGCGCAGACCTGAAACACACAGGCACTGGGGGCCTGACAGTGAATAGAGGACCTGGCCTAGAGGGTGGGCAACAGAAATCACATGATTATATTAATAGATGTGGAAAAAGCATTTGATAAGGTACTGAACCCAGTTATGATAAAAACACTCAGCAAAGTAGGAATAAAGGGAGCATTGATTAACATGATGAAGGCCACACATGAGAGATGTACAGCCAACATCATACTCAGAGGGCAAAAACTAAAAGCTTTCCTATTAACACCAGCAAGAAGACAAGGATGTCTGCACTCACCACTCCTATTCAACATAGTATTGGAAGTCTTAGCCACAGGAAGCAGACAAGAAAAAGAAATAAAAGGCATCCAAATTGGAAAAGAGGAAGCAAAACTGTCATTGTTTGCAGATGACATGGTAGTGTACATAGAAAATCCTATAGATGCCACCAAAAAAATACTTGACCTAGTAAGTGAATTTGGCAAAACAGCGGGATACAAAGGGAATATTCAGAAATCAAAGGCTTTTTTGTATACCAACAATGAAATATCAGAAACAAAAATCAGGGAAAAATGCCATTTGATATAACAACAAGAAAAAAAATATCTAGGAATAAACCTAACCAAAGAAGTAAAAGACCTGTAGTCAGAAAACTGCAAAAGTGAAGAAAGAAATTAAGGAAGACACAAATGGAAGCATATGTACCATGTTCATGGATTGGAAGAATTACCATCAAAATGTCCATACTACCAAAAGCAATTTACAGATTCAACACAATCCCTATTGAAGTACCAATGACATATTTTACAGATATAGAACAAACATTTCAAAAATTTACATGGAACCATAAATGACCCCAAATAGCTGCAGCAATTTTGAGAAAGAACAAAATAGGGGGGATCACAATACCTGATATGAAACTGTATTAAAAGGTCATTGTTTATCAAAACAGCCTGGTTCTGGCATAAGAATAGATGCATAGATCAATGGAACAGAATAGAGAGCCCAGAAATAAACCCAAGTCTCTATGCCCAATTAATACTTGACAAAGGGGGCAGAAGCATACAATGAAGTAAAAATAGTCTCTTCAACAAATGATGTTGGGAGAGCTAAACAGCTGTATGCAAAAAATTGAAACTCAATCACAAACTTACACCATACACAAAAATAAACTCAAAACGGATAAAAAAGTTCAATGTAAGTTGCAACACCATAAAAGTCCTAGAGAACAACATAGGCAGGAAAATCTCAGATATTCCATGCAGCAATATGTTCACCAATATGTCCCCCAGAGCAAGGAAGATAAAAGAAAGAATAAACAAATGGGATCTCATCAAAATGAAAAGCTTCTGCATGGTTAAAAAAAAAAAACAGCACTAAAATGAAAAGAGTACCAACTATATGGGAAAACACATTTGCCAATGATACTGTGGACAAGGGTTTGATCTCCAAAATATATAAAGAACTCACATGATTCCACTCCAGGAAGACAATCAAATTTAAAAAATGGGTAAAAGAGCTGAACAGACACTTCTGCAAGGAGGACATACAGAGGGCCCAGAGACATATGAAAAGATGTTCAGCATCACTAACTATCAAAAAGATGTAAATTAAAACCATAATGAGATACCAGTTCAGACCAGTCAGAATGGCCATCATCACCAAATCAACAAACAATAAGTGTTGGAGAGGTTGTGGATAAAACTGAACCCTAGTACACTGTTGGTGGAAACGGAGACTGGTATAGCTACTGTGGAAAATAGAATAGAATTTCCTCAGAGAACTAAAAGTGGAACAGCCTTTTGACCAGGCATTCCCACTGCTGGTTCTTATAACCTAAGAACCTTGAAACACCAATGCAAAAGAAGCTATATATCCCAATATTTATAGCAGCACAATTTACAGTAGTCAAGTGCTGGAAGCAACCTAAGTGTCCATCAGTAAATGAAAGAATCAAAACAGTATGGTATAATTTTATGATGGAATACTATGTAGCAGAAAAAAAGAAGCTCCTACCCTTTGGGACAGCATGGATGGAACTTGGGAGCATTATGCTAAGTGAAATAAGCCAGGACAAGAAAGACAAATACCAAAAGATCTCATCTTTAAGTGGAATCTAATCAATAAAACAGATAAGCAAGCAAAATATAACCAGAGACACTGAGATTAAGAACAAACTGACAGTAACTACAGGGAAAGTGGAAGGTGATAATGAGGGGAAAAGAGGGAAGGATTTTCAGGAACAACTATAAAGGACACATGGACAAAACCAAGGGGTTTGGAATCATGGGAGGGAGGTGGGAATTGCTGGGGTGCGTGGGAAGTGGTGGACAGAAAAGACAGGCAACTGTATTTGAATCACAATTTTAAAAAACTATCAGTTAAGTATTATTGCTCTGTGTCTTTTGAAAATGTTTCACTTATTAGGAAATCATTCATTGAAGGTGTGAATGTACGAAACTGCATATCAACCTTTATTTATAGTTAATATTTTTCTTTTCCTTTCCTCTGTGTATCCTATTAGACATATAAATGCTATGTACCATGTCTTCACAGGAAAGCTCTTGTCCTCCCACTCTTACAGACAATGCTGTATATATATCACTTAGATGAGTTTTCGTGGCACAATGCTTCCGTACCGGCAAGCACACTTCTCACTGCTTTTCTGTTCCTACTGACACTGGTCCAACAGAGAAATATAGAATAGGGAAGTAATTTAAAAAAGAAACCCCAGCCATTAGTGTATTCACCTACTGAAGTTTTTCTTTTAAAATTGAGAGCTTCCTTTGACAGAAACTTTCATCTGGTATCTGTCCCATGTATGAGAAAGTTTTATTTTAAGGGCACTATAGATTGTTTTCTTAAACTAATCTTTTTTGCAAAATGCATATGTGCGTTATTTCAGCAAGCATTTTCCCAGTGATATTCTCTGCTGAGAACCATAAAGCATGCTGAAAACAGAAATGTTTAAAACTTTGACAGGAAGGTTCTGGCAGAATTGTGCTAGGGTCTACTAGCAAACACAGCTGTTTGATGTTCCAATCAATCATCTGTGCCTAATTACCACAGTACAATGCCAGTGTCCCAGAAATGTCTATAGGTAACTGTCAGGTTTTAACATCTGTAAGGTAAAAGTGACTCTTCCTACCATGGTAGATTAAACTGTTCTTAATAACACTGCTTGTGACTTCCACCAAGATGGAGGCATAGGTGGAAACACTGTGCCTCCTCGCACAACCAAGTTTAAAAACAATAAACTTTTACTAACAAAAAAATGCAGCCAAAACACAGAAAATTGAACTATACGAAAGTCTGACAATAATGAACCCTTCAGCCAGACTGGTAAGAGGGGCAGAGCCAGTGACTGGTGCTGCGGGGTTGCGCAGGAAAACTCGACCAGACCAATTCAGGCACGAGGGCGGCAGTTGGCAGATCCCAGGTGTGGGGTAGCAATCGGCGGACCCAGTGAGGGTGCAAGGTGGCAGGCTGACTGTGGTCACACATTCGTGCGCAGATAAACCAGCGAAGGAGCAAGCAGTGAGACAGACCAGGCAGGCTCGGTAGGAAGCAGCAGAGGGGACCGCTATTGCTCCCTCTCTGACCCCGCCCCCACATACAGGGTCACAAACCTGCAACCTGGGTGGCCCCTCTCTGACCCTGCCCCCACATACGGAGTCACTGGGTTGTGACTTGCCTTGGTGAACACCTAAGGCTCCACTCTTCATATGTAACAGTGCGAACAGACTAAAGCATGGCTCAAGAACAGCTCAAAGCCCCAGGACTTCTGCCAAGATGGAGGCGTAGGTGGAAGCACTGCACCTTCTCCCACAACTAAGTTTAAAAACAACTAAGTTTTAGCAACAAAAACGCAGCCAAACCACAGAAAATTGAACTACACGGAAGTCTGACAACAATGAACCCTTTAGCCAAACCGGTAAGACAGGCAGAGCCAGCAGCAGAGCGGGGTTGGGCAGGAAAGATCCACCAGACTGACCGAGCACGCTACGCATGTGCACCAGCAGCCGTTGGCGGATTCCAGGTGTGGAGAAGCGGACAGACCCACTGAGGGCACAAGGTGCTGGACCCACTGAGGGCGCAAGGCAGTGGACCCACTAAGGGCTGATCGCGGTCACACATCTGCACACAGATAAACTGGTGAAGGAGCTAGCAGTGAGACGGACCACGCAGGCCCCATTGGCAGGAAGCAGCAGAGGGAGCCGCCATTGTCCCTCTCTGACCCCACCCCCACATACAGCATCACAAACCAGCGACCTGGGTGGCCCCACCCTGGTGAACAACTAAGGCTCTGCTCCTCATACTTAACAGGCACGAACAGACAAAAATGGCTCAAGAACAACTCAGAGCCCCGGAGCCGATAAATCTAAGTGATGAAGAAATAGCCAAACTTTCAGATGCACAGTTCAAAACACTGGTGATCAGGATGCTCACAGAACTGGTTGATTTTAGTCACAAATTAGAGGAACATATGAAGGCTAAACTAATTGAAATGCATGGAAATACACAGGAAACCAATAGTAATGGAAAGGAAATTGGGACTCAAATCAAAGAAGTGGACCAGAAGGAGGAAAAAAATGACAAAACAGAAAAGGATGAAGAAACAAGAATTCAAAAAAATGAGGAGAGGCTTAGGAACCTTCAGGACATCTTGAAACGTTCCAACATCCGAATTATAGGGGTAACAGAAGGGGAAAAAGAACAGCCACAAGTGGAAAACTTATTTGAACAAAAAATAAAGGAGAACTTCCCCAATCTGGCAAAGGAAATACACTTTCAGGGAATCCAGGAGCTCAGAGAGTCCCAAAGAAGTTGGACCCAAGGAGAAACACACCAAGGCACATCATAATTACATTAGCCAGGATTCAAATGAAGGAGAGAATCCTAGAAGCAGCAAGAGATAAAGGGACAGTCACCTACAAAGGAGTTCCCATCAGACTGTCAGCTGATTTCTCAAAAGAGACCTTACAGGCAAGAAGGGGCTGGAAAGAAGTATTCCAAGTCATGAAATCCAAAGACCTACAACCAAGATTGCTCTATCTAGCAAAGCTTTCATTTAGAATGGAAAGGCAGATAAAGTGCTTCTCAGATAAGATCAAATTCAAGGAGTTTATCATCACCAAGCCCTTATTATATGAAATGTTAAAGGGACTCACCTAAGAAAAAGAAGATAAAAAAACATGAGCAGTGAAAGGACAGCAAACTCACAGTTATCAACAACCACACCTAAAACAAAGGCAAACTAAGAGGACAGCTAGATCAGGAGTGGAACCATAGAAATGAAGATCTCATGGAGTGTTAGCAACAGGGGAGTGGGAGGAAAAGAAAGGGGGAGAAGGTAGAGAAAATAAGCAGCACAGACGGTAGGTAGAAAATAGATAGGGGGGAGGGCAAGAACAGTATGGGAAATATAGAATCTAAAGAACTTGAGACACATGGTCATAAACTAAAGGGGAGGGAATGATGGGGGAGGGGGTGTGCAGGGTGGAGGGGAATGAAGGGGGGAACTAGAACAACTGTAATGGCATAATCAATAAAAAAATATAACACTGCTTAACAGCTTCCAAGTTATATAATTCTAGGGAACAGAAAGAAAAATAGGTTTTAGGATTGAACATAAATGCTTTTTACACTTCTAGGGTAACAACCCTGTGGCAATGACCTAAAGTATTATCATAAATGAGGAACATATCCAACTCTTAGGCTATTATCATCTTAACTGATATAAATTGCTTGGGAAATAGACCAAAGAGAAAAAGTAACTGATAAGAGTCATATTCCAAACAATAGCAATCACCAACCTCTTTAAATTTTCGTATCCCCCAAATATTTTTGTTTCAAAATAGTGCCATATGAAATTTCTACAGTTACTTACCATCACCTTCTATAACACGGTTGCAGTGGAAACAAACATCACCAAATAGCTGAAAAATGAAAAAGCAGTAAAAATTCAACATCTGTTAGAAATAAGATTTTAAACGCCAAACATTTAATATGATTTTATTCCTTTCTACCACTTAAAAACAAATAGCTGGCTACCTAAATCCAGATTTTACCATTACTAGAGAAAACATGTAGCAGTTGACTAATTTTTACCTGGTATAATGAAAATAATTTACTTTTCATTACTACCAAAAAACAAAAAAGGCTCTGGAGGTGTTCCAGACTTAAGAAAGCTAAAGGAACATGACAACCATTGCTAGGCTTCAATCCTACAGTGGAAAAAAATTTTCCAAGAGATTTCTTTATAGCTGAAATATTGATAAGCTTAAATTCATAGAAGTATATCTCATATCCAATGAGTAAATACAATACCTGGTTATAGTGGGTTTCACAATATGCCAGGCCCTTCCTTTCATAATGGCGATGTCCAAGAAATGGTTTTTCACACTTGGCACAAACAAAATGCTGAAAAAAATAATTGCTACAGGTCATTTTTGATTTGCCATATTTTACTTATCAAATGAAGTAAAACTGTAAAGTTATACTATCCTCAGAGAAGGGACATGAAGTTTGAGGTACTGGTTTCATTCAGCCATAGGTACTCCTCCAGCAATTTCAGTCTTAATTCAGGTGTCTTTGACAAGTAAAGCCCCAGCCTATTCAAACGTCATAAAATGAGAAGCCATGTGAATGTTTGAGCAACATCTGTAAGTGAGGGACGATGCTGGAGATGGACCATGACACTTCTCTCAAGAAAATTTAAGAACAGACTTCTGGCCAAGGTGGAGGTGTACATAGATACACTTCGCCCCCTCCTGCAACCATGATGAGAAGGATCACAACTAACTTCAAACCTAAAAACAACCAGAACTGCCAGAAAATCAAGCTGTATGGAACTCTGACAACTAAGGATTTAAAGAAGAAATATCCATCAAGATGGGTAGGAGGGACAGAGATGGGGAATTAGAGTGAGAGGACATGGTGTGGCGGCTGCTGGTTGAACCAGTGGTCTGACATTTATGTGTGGCAGTTAAAAAGCAGGAGGGACACCTGGGGAGTGAAAATCCCAGCCCCAAGCTACACTGCACAGCCCAGGGTTCCAGCATCAGGGGAGAAAAGTCTCATAATTTCTGGCTGTAAAAACCAGTGGGGGGCCCTGGCTGGCACAGCTCAGTGGATTAAGTGTGGGTCTGTGAACCAGAGGGTTGCTGGCTCGATTACCAGTCTAGGGCACATGCCTGGGTTGCAGGCCAGGTCTCCACTAGGGGGGCACATGAGAGGCAACAACACATTGATGCTTCTATCCTCTTCCCCTCTCTCTAATATAATAAATAAAACCTTTAAAAAAAACAGTGGGGCAGGGGTTGGCGTGGTAGAAGTAACTGCTGGTCTCTGAGGGAAGTCCATTGAAAGGATCCATGAAGCCCTAGAACATAAGGCAAACCCATCTACTCTTGTATTCCGCACTAGCTAGAAGGGTGCCAACTGCATATGGGAAGTGGGAAAATTGGGAAAAGTGACTAAAAATGGGGTGAGAGCTGAGCAAGCAGCATTATTTCCTCTCTAACCCCTCCCCCACAGTGCCACAAAGCAGTGGAGTGGATTGCCCCACCCTGGCTAATACCTAAGGCTCTGCCCCATACAACATAATAGGTACACCAAGACAAGGAGTCAAAGCTCCTCTACCTAATACATAGAAACAAACATAGGGAGGTTACCAAATTGAAGAAACAAAGAAATATGGCCCAAATGAAAGAACAGATCAAAATTCTAGAAAAAGAACTAAGCAACATTGAGACAGGCAACCTATCAGACACAGAGTTCAAAACATCGGTGACAGGGTGCACAGAGAAGTCATTGAGTACAGTGAACACGTAAGGGAAGAAATGGAGGCTATACTAAGTGAAATTTTAAAAAAATCCACAGGGAACCAACAGTTAAGGGAAGGAAGCCAGGATCCAAATCAATGATTTGGTACATAAGGAAGAAATAAACATTCACGGGGAACAGAATAAAGAAATAAGAATTAAAAAAATGAGGGGAGAATAAGAAGACTCTGGGACTTCTCCAAATGTGCTAACATCTGATTCATAGGGATGCCAGAAGGAGAATAGGAAGAGTAAGAAATTGAAAACTTATTTGAATAAACAATGAAAGAAAACTTTCCTAATTTGATGAAGGAAATAGACATCTAAGTCCAGGAAGCACAGAGTCCCAAACAAGTTGGAACCAAAGGGGGCAAACCAAAATACATAATAATTAAAATGCCAAAGATTAAAGCTAGAGAATCATAAAAGCAGCAAAAGAAATGCAGAGAATTACCTACAAAGGACCTCACATAAGACTATCAGCTGATTTCTGAGGGTGAAAGATGGTAGCAAGGTAGGTGGGAGCTGAACCCACTTGCTTGTGCACCCAACTGGGACACCTAGCCAATCTTCTGAAGAACAGAGTGAACAGCCAACAGAATCCCAGCTTATATAAAGTTTGGAAACCAAAGACTGCAGAGGATGTTTAAAAACAGATGGCAAGGAAATCTTGTAGGCTGATGGGATGGTTGCTGGGGCCTGTGAAGGGATCATAGCTGCTGAGGTCCCAGGGCCCAGTGCCAGGGACTGCAGCTACCACAGGTGCTTTGGAAGAGAGCCAGATCAGCACTTGTAATTTAACAGTTTCCTTCCTTCCCAGATCAGGGAAGCTGGTCCCATACCAGGAGAGACCTGCATGCTTGAAGTCGCTTGGGGGATACAGTCACAGTGAGAGACACACAGAGGCAGTGTTTCTGTGTTAGGACAGTACCAGAGAAACTAGGGAATAGGTGACAACTGGAGATGGGAGAAGAGTTAGGCTGTGACTGACCCTGACCCAGCAGACTCCGGATTGGTCAGAAAGTTGGGCTGTGTGAAAAGCCGGATGCTTGTTAAAAATGGCTGGCCACAACCTAGGAGAATTCGTTAAAAAACAAAACAAAACAAAACAAAACAAAACAAAACAAAACAAAACAAAACAAAACAAAACAAAACAGCCTTCAGCCACTGGACAAGGAACTTTCTCCTATGTTGCGGCCAGGCCAGCAAAGAAGGAGGAGGAGGGGTGCAATTTATTCTAAATCAGAGCGCCTCATGGACTGATCAAAGTTGGGCAGTGGGGGCTCAGTGGGGTAGTGGTCCACAGAGACTTAATTTAATAGGGAAACTAAACTGCCCTGAAAGGAATTTGTGTGCACAGTGACCAGGCCAGCAAAGAAGGAGGAGGGATGCAAGTTGCTCCCATGGTGCACCTCATGGACTAATCAAAGAGTAGAACAACAAGGTGGATTAAAGGTGCCCACTGGGCATATATGGACTGTGGGAGCTGCACGATGCTCTGAGGGCTTGTGCTGGAGGCTAGACACCTATGAATATTGGAGCCTGGGCCAAGCTCCCAACACAGAACCACAGGTAAGGAGAAAAAAAAAAAAAAGGAGCCCAGCCCCTCTGTGCCCAGAGCTACCAGAAGACCAGCAGAACCCACTTGGCAGAATTAAAGTCAGCAGGACACTTTTGTTTTCCTTCCAAGTGTAAGACAATGAGACCTGGAGCTATTAAAGGACCAAAGACAGACCCAGAGAGAGATCAGAAGGATAACCTCAACATCTGAGACAGAATTCACTCTGATATGCTACAGAACTTGCATTTTATTTTTACTTTTATTTTCATTTGTAGTTTTTTGTTATTATTATTTCTATTTCTCTTCCTTCTGTTTAGTTTTATTTGTTTGATTTTATTGTTTGACTGGTTTTCTTTGTTATCCCTTTCATATTGCATTTTAATTTCTCTTCCTTCATTTCACTCTTATACCAACAACACACTAATCTTGGTCTTTTAATTTTTAAAAAATTCAGATCATGTATTTCTTGTCGTATTATTATTGTTCCAATTCCCACACAGCACCCTTCCATGGTCTTAGTCCATTTCACTATCTTTCTGTGCTTTATTACTGTTGTGGTTAACGTCTTCCTCTCGCACATTATGACAAGTTTCTAGCACTTACTCTCAGTATATCTCACCATCAAACCTTGCAAAACACTCTGCTTTCTGGAGTCAGTGTTCTTTCCCCCCTAATAGGAGTATTATCTCTTTTTGACCTTTTATAAAAAGTGGCTAGTTGTGTGAAATATCACAGTTATTGCTGTACTTCTCCACAAGATCTCCTATGTGTTCTCTACTTGTTAGTACTTTAATTCCCATAGAATACTCTCCTGCTCTCTTACTCCATTTCACCTTTGCCCTGCCCCAGATCACATGCAAGAAAAGATGGGACTTGTAAATACCAGTAGACCTGCTAGAAGGGAGAATCCACCAACAAAGGAGCTATCAACAGGCAAAAACCAAGTACGACAAGAGAGCCCATACAAATGGAAAAAAAGGGTAACCCTAGAGCATCCAGACAAGGAGATTAAAGAGAAAGCACCACTGAGTCCCACAGAACTCCTACCATACCCTTAGCGCACCCTAGGAAGACAACTGGCAAACCAGAGCATCAGGAATCGCAGAAACACACAAAAAGACTCACCCCTAAAATGGGGAGATAAAGAAAGAACCTGCAATCAAAAGGCATGGAAAACTGCTCCATAAAAGAGCTAAATTAATGGAGCTAAGCAAATTATCAGGTACAGAATTCAGAAGAATGGTTATAAGGATGCTCGAGGAACTCACTGACGACTACAAGGCACTGAGTGGGAACTACAAAAGGAAATAGAAACTATCAATAAGAACAAGAAAGAAATGAAGAATACAATTTCTGAAATAAAAAACACAGTAGAGGGAATTACAAGCAGGCTGGATGAAGCAAACACCGAATTAGTAAGCTGGAAGACAAGGTAGAAAGAAAAACCCAGGGAGAGCAGCTACACGAAAGAAAAAAAAAACTAAAAAAAATTGAAGATAACTTAAGGGAACTACAAGATAACATGAAACACAGCAATATTTGAATCACAGAAAAACGAGAAGGAGAAGAAAAGGAACAAGCGATAGAAAAGCTGTCTGAAAAACTAATAACAGAAACATTCAGAACCTGGAGAGGGGAAAAGCCATGCATGTTCAGAAAGTACAGTGAGTCCCAATCAAGATGGACATCTCAAGATGCAAAGAGACACTTAGACTATGGTCTAAGACACACCATAATTAAAATGCCAAGTTTACAATACAAAGAGAGAACCTTAAAAGCAGCAAAGGAGAAACAAGTAACATACAAGAAAACTCCAATTTGGCTAGCAACAGATTTCTCAATAGAAACACTACAAACCAGAGGAAATGCTAACAAATATTCAAGTAGAGGACTTCTGGCCAAGATGGAGGCGTAGGTGGAAACACTGTGCCTCCTCCCACAACCAAGATTAAAGACAACAAAGTTTTAGTAACAAAAACACAACCAAAACACAGAAAATTGAACTGTACGGAAGTCAAAAAAAAAACAAACAACGAAACATTCAGCCAGACTGGTAAGAGGGGCGGAGTCAGCAGCAGGTCGAGTGGGGTCACACAGGAAAAGGCAGCCAGATCCACCCAGGCACGCAGGCAGCAGTTGGCAGATCCCAGGTGTGGGGTAGTAACAGGCAGACCCAGTGAGGGTGCAAGGTGGCTGGCTGACCGTGGTCACACATTCACACTCAGAGAAACCAGGCAAAGGCGTGAGCATGAGACAGATCATGAAAACTAGGGCCCCAGTGACGGGAATTAAAGTATAAAAGCACCAATTGGAAAAACTTTCAGGGTCCAGGTGATAGGAGAAGCTCCCAGGCTCACAGAGAGTTCGTTGGAGAGACCCACAGAGTCCTGGAGGGTGCACAAGCTCACACACCTGGAAACCAGCTCCAGAGGGGCCCAATTTGCTTGTGGGAAGCAGCAGAGGAAACCGAAATCCAAGAGAGAGCATGAAACAAGCGCCATTGCCCCTCTCTGACCCCACTTCCACAAACGGCATCACAACCCTACTGGGTAGCTCCGCAAAGGTGAACACCTAAGGCTCCGCCTCTCATATGTAACAGCATGAACAGACCAAAACATTATGGCTCAAGAACAGCTCAAAGCCCCAGAGCCAATACTTCTAAGCAACCAAGAGATAGCCAACCTATCAGATGCACAGTTCAAAACACTGGTGATCAGGATGCTCACAGAACTGGTTGATTTTGGTCACAAATTACAGGAACAAATGAAGGCTACATTAAGGGAATGAAATGAAGGGAAATGCACAGGAAAACAATAGTGATAGAAAGGATACTGGGACTCAATCAAGGGAGTGGACCAGAAGGAGGAAAAAAATGACCAAACAGAAAAGGATGAAGAAACAAGAATTCAAAAAAAATGAGGAGAGGCTTAGGAACCCCCCAGGACATCTTGAAACATTCCAACATCCGAATTATAGGGGTACCAGAAGAGGAAGAGAAACAGCAACAAGTAGAAAACTTATCTGGACAAATAATAAAGGAGAATTTCCCCAATCTGGCAAAGGAAACAGACTTCCAGGAAATCCAGGAAACTCACAGATTACCAAAGAAGTTGGACCCAAGAAGGAACACACCAAGGCACATCATCATTACATTAGCCAAGATTAAAATGAAGGAGGGAATCCTAGAAGCAGCAAGAGATAGGGGACAGTCACCTACAAAGGAGTACCCATCAGACTGTCAGCTGATTTCTCAAAGGAGACCTTACAGGCAAGAAGGGGCTGGAAAGAAGTATTCCAAGTCATGAAATCCAAAGACCTACATCCAAGATTAATCTATCCAGCAAAGCTTTCATTTAGAATGGAAGGACAGATAAAGTGCTTCTCAGATAAGGTCAAATTCAAGGAGTTTATCATCACCAAGCCTTTATTATATGAAATGTTAAAGGGACTTATCTAAGAAAAAGAAGATAAAAAAGATGAACAGTGAAAGGACAGCAAACTCGCAGTTATTAACAACCACATCTAAAACAAGAGCAAAACAAAAGCAAACTAAGAGGACAGCTAGATCAGGAGCAGAACCATAGAAATGGAGATCACATGGAGGGTTAGCAACAGGGAAGTAAGAGGATGAGAAGGGGGGAGAAGGTACAGAGAATAAGTAGCATAGATGGTAGGTAGAAAATAGATAGGGGGGAGGTCAAGAATCGTATGGAAGATACAGAATCTAAAGAACTTGTGACACATGGACATAAACTAAAGGGGGGAAATGGGATAACTGTAATGGCATAATTAATAAAATAAATTAAAAAAAAAGAAATATTCAAGTAATGAAGAGCAAAGGCCTACAACTAAGACTACCCTACCCAACAAGGCTCTCAATTAAAATGGAGGATGAAATAAGGAGTTTCCCAGACAAAATCAGACTGAAAGAATACACCTTCACCAAACCAGCACTGCAAGATATGCTTAAGGGAACTGTTTCATGAAGAGAAGGAACCCTTGCTGGAATGGCTCAGGGGTTGAGTGTAGGCCTGCAAGCCAAAGGGTTGTCAGTTTGATTCCTGGTCTAGGGCACATGCCTGGGTTGTGGGCAAGGTCTCTGGTGGGAAGTGTGTGAGAGGCAGCCACACACTGATGTTTCTCTTGCTCTCTTTCTCCCTCTTTTCCCCTCCCTAAAAACAAACAAACAAACAAATAAATAAATAAATAAAATCTTTAAACAAGTAGGAGGAAAAAGAGTAAGAGAGGAACACAGGTATGAAGGGGGAAAAATGAATAAGTACCTATCAAAATTAAGTTTAAATGTAAATAGATTAAATGTTCCAATCAAAACACAGGAGCTGAATGGATAAGAAAACCTGACCTCCACATATGCTGACTATAAGAGATCCACCTCAAAACAAAAGATCTAAACAGACTAAAAGTGAAGGGTTGGAAAAAAATATTCCAAGTAAATGGAAAGGGGAAAAAAACCAGGGTAGCAATATTTATATCACACAAAATAGACTTCAAACCAAGGCCATAAAAAGAGATACAGAAGGACACTTCATAATACTCAAGAGAAGAACCCACTGAGAAGACATAAACAGTGTAAATGTATATGCACCCAATATAGGAGCACCGAATGTGTAAGGAAAATCTTGCAGGACTTCCAGAAAGATATAGATAACAACAAACTTCTATTAGGGATTTTAACACACCACTGTCAACAAGGATAATGCGCCACTGAACAATGTAACCAGAGGGGCAGGGCCAGAGGGATAATGGAGGGCTATCAGGGAACATGTCTAAAGGACACATGGAGAAAGCCAAAGGGGTAAGGTCAAGGGTGGGAGGTGGGGATGGGTGGGGCAGGGGGGTTGTTGTGGGGTGAAAATGGAGACTACTGTGCTTGAATAAAAAAGAGGATTATCTATCTCCAAAGAAACCTTACAGGCAAGATGGGGCTGGAAAGAAGTACTCAAAATTATGAAAGGCAAGGACCTACATTCAAGATTGTTCTATTTAGCAGCAAAGCTATCATTTAGGAAGGAAGGGCAGATAAAGTGCTTCCCAGGATAAGATCAAGTTAAAAGATTTCATCATCACCAAGCCCTTTTTTTAATATGAAATGTTAAAGGGACTTATTTAAGAAAAAGAAGATCAAAACTATGAACAGTAAAATGTCAACTCACAACTATTGACAACTGAATCTAAAAAACAAAAACAAACTAAGCAAACAACTACAAAGGAACAGAATCTGGAGGGTTATCAGTGGGAAGGGGGAAGAGGGAGAATGGAGGAAAATGTACAGGGATTGAGAAACATAATTGGTAGGTACAAAATACACAGGGAGATGTTAAGAAAAGTATAGAATATGGAGAAGCCAACTTATATGCATGACCTGTGGACATAAACTAAGGGAGTGATTGTTGGAGGGAAGGTGATATTGGGTGGAGGGAGTAAAAGGGAAAAAAAAACCTGGGACAACTTTCACAACCTAATCAGTCAAATATATTTCTAAAAAAGGAAAGAAATAAAGAACAAAACATTACATCCTATACCATTGTAAGAGCTCACAAAAACAGTGTATATTCCATATTCCTAATTTTCTATAAAGTCAGTTGTCTTCAAAATGTTCATATAAATCTCTAAAAATCTCCTTATCTTGCTAACACATCTGAACCAAGGAAATTAAAACGTACTATTTGCCCCTACGTCTTTTAGAATTTACCTCCACATGCCACTGTTTGCCCATGGCATTTACCACGCGCCCTTCAATGGGCCTCCGACAAGCGCCACATATGGGAACTCCCATTTTGTCATGGCATGGCAAGCAATACAGTTCTCCTTTCAGCTCCCGGGCATCAGCAGTCAGCTCCTTTCTGTCCATGAGAAAGATGCTCAAATGAATACCATCAAGAGAGGAAAAAAACAGGCAATGATGTGGCTAACACTTTTAGAAGGTTTTTGAAGATATCACTGTAACAATCCCTGTAACTTCTTTTCCCTCCTGGTGATTACAGTAATGTGAATTAACAAGTTTGAATAATTTTCAAATCTCTACCAAAACATCAATATCATACAATAATGATAAAATGTACCAATAAGTCAGATATATACCACCACACTGGTCATATCTATCATTTCCTTGACTATTATCACAATATAGTCCATTTGTTGTCTTTAAAAAGCTAGAGAATAATAACTAATACTGAGGAAAGACTCAGTGATACTATCTTTCTAAAATAACTGTGGAGTTTAGAGACTAGTGCCCTTTAATAATAATTAAAACTGTCATAAGCTTTTAAAAAATAGGTATATATGAATAGGAAATAGACAATGACCAGAATTTTCTGTTTCCAAATGCTTAAATATGCTATTATTTTCAGTCTCCTGTGTCAGTACACATGTCAGAGATAGCCCCAATTAATCAAATGGACTTGTCTGAATTTCACCTTTTACAATAATTCTTTACAAATGCTAAAGGAAAATGAGAAGCATTCTACCAGAGGGCAGATAGGCAAGAAAATCAGGAAAGGCACAAATTGATAATCACAAAAAAGATGAGGTAGCTGTACTAACACCACAAAGCTGTTTCCTGACCCTTTGCCTACCTTATGTCTTCCCCTACTAGAATTTAGCATGTAAGTTCATATTCATTATAGTAAAGTATCTTTTTCATTAAATTTTTATGTTAGATAACAAACTCAGAAAATCATAGCCCAACGATTTATTATGAAATTTTGAAGAAAAAATTTCCTTTAGATGTAATTTAAGATATTTTGAGATAATACCCTAATTATTACAACTGGAGAAACTATATATGTATACAAGGATGAAACTTTTAAAACCTCTTTTTGAATCCTACATTGGAAAAGCAGTTTTTGAGATGATTTGGGATATTTTAACATGGTTTGAATATTCCCAGGTCTGTACATGCATATGCACATGCACACATACAAAGTGTGCTGCACACCCAGTCAAACGGGCAAAATGTTAACTGATGAAGCTAAACGATGGGCATATAGGTATTCTTTTATTATTCTCTTGACTTTTCTATAGGTTTAAAATTTTTCAGATTAAAAGTTGGAGAAAAACAATTTGGTCTGCAGGCATAACAGAAATATAAAGAAATGTGATCTTTTATTTTACTTCCACCATTTGTGCAATAACAAAGAAATCACAATACCCGCAGTTGGCACAGTTGAAATGGTCTGGATGGTAAGGGTCATTCTTGAAAATCAAAGGCTGTTCATCAATGATGGCGTGGCATTTCTGGCAGATGTATTTTCCAAGGCCCCTGGCTTTCTCACGATTATGACAGGGGCGACACAGATGTCTAAACAAAACCAAAACTGTTTTAGAAACTTAAATAAAATATAAGGTCCTTCCTAATGATTAAAAAAAAATATGCTCCTCCAATGTCCCAAAATAAATTAAGGAAACTGTTTCTTTAAAAATCACTGCTGACTTAGGAGAGTGAAATCAAGCCACTACTTTTTACATAATAAGTTATTTATTCCAATCCAAGTAATCTGACTGATACTTAAGAAACGGCATTTTAAGTACCTATATGTCGGGAGCCGGCCAGCAACCGTCTCTTGACAAGGTCAGGATGGTTGAGATGCATCTGCAAGGCAGAGGCAACTGTGGCTGGATTTCCTGTCTATCTCTCCTTACAAGTTTGTTTTAGTGATCAAAAGGTGGTGGGATTGTTAGACACCTGTATTTCAGATTCATTGATTTGCATAATTCCAATGAAGTTGTACAAGATAATTTCTTGACCAGAGAACAAAGTTCCCTCTTAATGAAATAGCCTGTGAATGTCTAAAAGTTGTTGGAGTAATAGCCCCTCCCTTTATCTTGAACAGGAATATATATTAATTAGAATTTAGTAGGCAAAGACTTGTTAGATACTATAAACTAAGCACGTAGATACAATTACCAAGGAGTTAGAGTCCATAGTACATAGAGAAACATTTTGGACAGAAAGATAGCTAAATTAGACATCACAAAGGCCTTATAATGAATTTCCTAATCTCTCTGCTCAGTCTAGCGTGCCTTTTTGCCCCATGTCAAATTCTAAGACCTTTAACAAACAATAAGACATTCATACTCTGTACATAGAGCTAGTTCAAATTGTCTGATTAATGGCTCTTCTGGTCAAAACAACTTTTGTTTAACATAACTGAAACTATGGAAATTCTTGTACTTTTCCTGGTTACCTCTGTATTGGTTTTTTCTGCTTAACTGATCATGCTATGCACCTGTTCCTTTAATGTTATACAACAATCTCTATAAAAATAAAGCCTAAATCAAACTCTATAAGTTCAGTCAGTCCCAGAGGCTGGCTGTTCTCTGGCATCCAATTGGGTGTCTGACTCTTCATTCGCCTGCACCATCCATCTTTCAGGGACCCTGAACCCTGCCAAGGCAGGACCCTGGCACCTATACCTCTTTTTGTCAGCCCAGGAACACAAGCGGCAGCCAAGCACTGCAGCACAAAAGTTGCAGGGCCCTCTCCGAACAGGCACCAGTTCTGAGTCCCTATACCTTAAATTCAGTGTCCTAAAGCACTGCCTTATAGTCCCATGAGAACATATGCATGACCTTGTAGTAGTCACTTTATCTACCCCCACCTGACAAGGATAAAAACTCCTACCTGCCAGCATTCTTGACAAACCCGATGTCTGCCAGGACTTGCTGGCAGAGGTCGCAGCAGAAGCACTCAGGGTGCCAGCTGTTGTTCATTGCTTTGATAACTCGGCCAATGATGAACTCACCTGTGGAGAGGGACACAAAGCATATCCAATGGTGTGGTGTTTTACTGCTAAAAGCAGTAAGGGAAAAAATACATTTAAACCTTTCTCCACAAATAGGGACTTTTTATGTATGTGTCTACCGCAGTAAGCACTACATCAACAAAATGTTTTCTATTTCATCTGTATGATTCTGTAGCTATATTTTCAGGCTGTCTTATCACATCTCTGAATCTGGTTTTCCTTTTACATACAATGTACTGGACTCTCTTGAATGTCTTTTGGTAATTTCTGGTCATCATTGACACAGAAAAATGAAATCCACAGAACATATTCTTGTAACTAGTGCTTAATTTCTTCTTTCATTAAACCTTTGTAACATTCTAATCAATTTCTCTAATCTCTGGAGACCTTTTAGTAGGGCTGTTAGCAACCAGTGAAGGGCTTAAGGCCTAAGAAAGCCCACCACTTGTGCAATACACAAGCAATCTTTCTCTTCACAGGCCGGTGTTCAATCTACTGAGCTATACCAGCCAGAGCTATGACACACAGGTAATCTTTCAGCATCTATGTACCTCACTTACACCTTTTCTCTCTCCCAGAAAACCCAAAAGCAAGTAGGTATACGTTACACTAACAGGGGAAATGAACATTCTAAAAGATCAGCTAACGGCAGTTCTCATTTGTCCCCAATACTTTTATACTGTAAGTCATTAAAAATCATTTCTCTTTCCTTTAAAACATTTTTTAAAGTTTATTTATTCATTTTAGAAAGAGGTGAAGGGAGAGAGAAAAAGAGGGAAAGAAACATATGAGAGAGACACACTGATGGGCTGCCTTCTGCACACAACCTGACTGGGGACTAAATTTGAATGGGAGTTAAACTGGTGACTTTTTGGTTTGTGGCTAAACCAACTGAGCCACACTGGCTGGGTTTCTCTCTGATTTTTAAATAAATTTTTATATTTATTTATTGATTTTAATTTTTTTAGAGAGAGAAAGGGATAGATGGGAGGGTAGGAGAGTCAGGGAGAGACAATCGATTTGCTGTGCCACTTAGTTATGCATTCATTGGGATGATGCTCTAAGCAACTGAGCAATTCAAGGTCTCTCTCCAGGTTTTGATACTATTCCAGGTTGTTATATATTAATAATAGGAAAGAGGGCTGGTAAATTACCTAGAAGCTATTTATAACGACACCCAAAAACCACTGATACTTTAGTAGCATTAAATATCTTAAGTAATTTTGAAACTTACTTTTATTTTATATTCAGCTGTAAAACTTACCACACTGATGACAGCAAGGTGCAAAGAGCATCTGAAAATCATGTTCACAGTACTTCCTTCCTTCAAACTGAAACAAAAAGTACTTGTAAATATTAAATAACCAGAGGATAAACACAATTATTCTACAGAGACAAAAGGAAAGATGGTTTGGAACTAAGAACTCTGCTCCTGAGATTTTTAAAAGCAGATATACTTTTGTATCTTCCATACAACTACGTGGGGGCACAGGAAAAGAAACAATGAATAAGTCGAGACCAGAACTAATATTGTGCCCTTAGAATATGGTGGCTTTGACTCTAGCTATTCTTAATTGTTTTTTGACTTACATACTCCACCTTTAAGAATCTGATGAAAGCTACAGACTCTACCCCTTAGAAAATGTGCACATACAAACCCCTTCTCCTAGGTTTTAAAGCTAGTATCTAAAATATTTTACTTTTGGCTTAAATATTTTAAAAGGGTAAATATTCTAGTATATTTTAAATTTAAACATTTTTAAATGGGACCAAAACCCTTTAAAAATTAAACTTTCTTTAACAGTTGGCAAATTTACATCCTTCTCTTCCCTCCTTGAACTGTTTCCATTTAATTTCCCCCAAAGTTTTATCCTAGTATATTTCCTTATCACCCTACCATACTTCAGTGCAATTAAAAATTTTAATTTCTGAATCCAACAGGCTCTAAAAATTAACATTCTTTCTCCTTTTTCTTTTTTAAAAGGGAATGCATGGATACTTGTGAGGAGCAATCTTTTTTTAAAAGAGATTTTATTTATTTATTTTAGAGAGATGGGAAGGGAGGAAGTGAAGGAGGGAAAAATCAATGTGTAAGAGATACACTGACTGGTTGCTTCTTGCATGCTCGCAAATGGGGACCTGGCTTGCAATCCAGGCATGTGCCCTGACTGGGAATGGAACTGGTAACCTTTCACTTTGCAGGATGATGCCCAGCCCACTGAGCCACACTGTACATGGCAACATTCTTTTTTTTCTGGATTAAATTATCATTATAATGATTATTAGTAAAACATGTTACAAATGTTAAATTTTACTTTTCACTATTTATATACTTGAAAAGTGAATCTTAATGAGGTGAGCAGGGCTACTCTTTTCCCTCAGAATTATTTCATGCATGCATGGAGAATTGTGACTTAACACTATAATAGCCATTAATTCTAGATTAATTTCTATTTGGGGGATTGCTTTCATCCTTTTCACATAAAAATGCTGAAGGAATTATAATTATATAAATGTCTTCCTTTGAATCTTTGAGCTCCTTACAAGTTATATGCTTAAAATCACACAATTGATTATCAAAACCTACTCATAATAATGTATCAGTTGCCAAAACAATTTCCTCAATTACAAAAATTATCTGAAGACAGCTCATTCAATTTAATGAAGGTATCCACAATAGCTTAATTGTCAAGCCATATTTATTTTGTGCCAGGAAAAGTCTTCCTTCACTTTTAAATTCAAAGAAATAAAGTGTAAATAAACACACTTAATACATCTATTTTTAAAAGTTATAAATAGAAGGTAATAAATCAACAAGCTATTACTCAATAGTGTGTCATAATGTAATGCATTGTAACATGTAGTCAAAAGTAGAGTCATTCCTTTAATGAATATATATTAGGTAGACCGGTTTGCAGATTGTTGTGTTATGTTCCTCTGTTTTCATAGGGCGTATGCCTATGACCTGCCTATGCCTATGAGTAATTAGCAGCAATATAAGCCTCACTTAAGGAGCCCATCTTTGTCATCGCCCTCCTGAGAATCAACGGTTTGGTTGAACTAAGTAGTTAAGTTAATAAAAAGTTGGGGCAGTCTGTGGGCTTCACTTTAGAACTGATTTTCCATTTTCTGTCTTGATAGCTTGGACAGAAAGGGCTCAGAAAGCTGAAAGGAGGGAAATCTTAATGTATTCCCCTCAGCCCAAGTGAAGTATAGTAAGCCACAAGAGTCTTGGATAGGTATAGCATGCCTTGTGCACCTTCCACTAGATAAGCCATTCTTTACTGAAGTATCTGCCTTTGTCAATTAATAGTTATGATTTAATTGTACTTCCAATTTCTTGCTTAATCTGTCACCTCAAGAATACAACCTGACCAGTATGCCAACAGTCCAGTAATGCCAGCCTTTGGACGCCTAGCCTGCGACTTCCTGGTGACAGCCAACTGACCAGGACCCTGTAAGGTTCTTCCCCTTACAGGAAGGACTCCCTCCATGCTGCACCCCCCCTTCAGGGCACCCCTAGCCCAAGGGTAAATAAGACAGCATCCATTTCCAGCTTGGAAGAAGTTAAAAGAAGATGAGACCTCCGTCCATTTTCCTTTATATGATCATGAAGTCGGTGTAAATCTGAAAGGAGGAATACTGATACAGGGTGCATCCAAGGGGGGCCCCAGAAAGGATTTGGGATGGGATCCAAAGTTCGGGGTGTCCAAGAAATATTGAGATGTACTCACCCCCCCAGGGCGAGGGGACGAATGGAGCAGGGCCATTGAGAGCTGTTTTGCATAGCAACGGGTTTGCAGCTGACCTCTAGAGTGATTATTTGACATCTGTGGCCTTTGGAGGGTTTTATGGATGTGTTAAATAGTGTGGCCAGGCTTAAAGCTAGGGGAATAAAGTCACTTACCCAGGATGTAACTAGGAGCAGAGCCCCTGAGGGGGGAGGCCTGTATAAGAGCTTAGAAAAGATCAGCTCCAGGACATGAGGGGACAACTACCCAGGTGAAAGAGGGAGCCACATGGTTTAGGGCAGAGTGAAGACGCCTGCAGCTTTAGTAGAAGAAGCCCACACGGCTTTGGGTGCCCCCTCTGGCCACATGGCCTAGAAAAAAAGAGACTTTGACTAGAACTTGATGCAGAAGAACTCTTGCCAGTAGACCGTAAAAGAATGCCACATAACTTTAGATTAACTAAAGATCCTGCCTGATACAGCTGGCAGTGCCAGCGACCTGAAACATAGATGTGTGCTCTTTCTTGATTTACAGTACCCGGAGTTGGGACAGTGCAAGTAGGGAGCAAAACATGAAAGCATTTTAGGTTGAAAAACTTGGTTTCTGACTGCTCTTTTACAATAATAGAACTGGAATTATAGGTGATAGCAAGGGGGACTTTGTGCGGCACTAGGAGAAGAATGCTGTTTTTATGCCAACCACTCAGGAGTAATAAGAGACAATATTAAAGTACTAACGAAAAGATTAAAAGAAAGAGAACAAGCAGACAATGACTCCAGCTGGTATGCCTCAATGTTTGGAACCTCCCCCTGGCTGACCACCCTAATCTCAGCCATAGCTGGGCCACTATTAATATTAATATTAGTATTAACTATTGGGCCCATAATACTCAACAAGATCCTTGCCTTCATCAAAGAACGGGTAGAAGTAGTCAAGCTAATGGTCCTGTCCCAGCCATATACCATTTTACCAGGGGACGAGACTGAATCAACGGTTCGATTCATAAACAAGAGAAGGGGGGAATGTTAGGCCCGGAATTAGATAAAAGTAGCCAAGAGGAACCTGAGGCAGGCTCCAGACTGACTCGGCAAGGAAGACAGAAAGTACAGAAAGTACAAAGAGTGCTGAACAAGATAACTGCCTTGTGCATGACCTTGTCTTTGCAGAAAAGTATCCATTGTTGCAGGCAGAGAACATAGCCATGTGTGTTCTCTCGAGATAGCCAATTGCTAACAGCTACGTCTGCTTCTGTATTTGCTTGCTTGCTCACCCCAATAAAAACCCTAGGCTGTAAGCGCCAGGTGCGACTCTCATTTGCAGCCTCTTGGCACCATGTCCCCAGACACCCTGAGAGTTCGCCCCTGCGCAGGTAAAGCTTTGGCCAATAAAGTTCCATCTTAAACTCCTGAAAGCTTCCGACCATTTGTTGCTCGCGTTGGTGGATGCCACAGTAAACAACTAGAACAGGAACAGATTCACAGAAATAAAGCCATATAGAGGATTATTAGCAGGGAGGGGGAAAGGGAAATGGGGAGAAAGGTACAGAAAATAAGAAGCATAAATGGTAGATACAAAATAGATAGGGTGAGGTTAAGAATAGTATGGGAAATGAAGAAGCCAAACTTACATGTACAACCCATGGACACGAACTGGGGGTGGGGGAGGAATGCTGGAGGGAGGGAGGTATGGTGCAGAAGGGAATAAAGGGGAGAAAAAAATGGGACAACTTTAAGTATATTTTAAATATATACTTAAAAATACTTGGAATTAGGAATTTAGCTAATGGTCTCATTTCAAGTCATGTGCAAATGTTGAAAATATTTGTACTGGTTTGTCATAAATTGTTTGAAGTGAGTGGGGCAGTAGGTAAGTACCTCTTTTTGTTGGAAAGTTTCCTCTCCAACGGTCAGTCATACCTTCTCAGGTTTCAGCTTTCCTGAGTAAACATGATTCAGTATAAGAGGAAATAATTGAAGAAATCTCTTGTAAAACACCTTTCCACTAAATCTCTCACCATAAACTGGTCTTTTCTGTTAAGTATTTTGTGATAAGGAAAAAGGGTACATTTGGGATATTCAAAGTAAGAAGTAGAGAAAAAGGAATCTGACCTATCAGCCAAGAACCCAGCCCCTAAATGTGTACTATGCTAGGTTGAAAGGCTGCACACCAAGCCCCTGGTCCTTGATCCAATCCATCCTTTTATAGTATTTCTGGAAGTATATGCCTCTGCAACTACTGGTTCAATTTCACTTCCAAAACTGTTTTTTTAGGGGAAATTTTAAAAAAAATCCTTTTACTGGAGATAATCTCAGATGTCACAAAGTTCGACTTAGGAACCACTATATGGCTATAGATAGTTGGCATTAGGGTCTCTGAGTTGAATGGGTATTTCCCCCTGGAAATGGCATTTAATCAGCCTTCTCATGATGACAATGATTTGGTCATTTTACAAATATTTCTCCACATGTAGTGGAGAATGACTGGGAACACTGACAGCCTATGTAAACCAGCACTGATGGAAATAGATTCCCTCTTAAGATAACTACAATACCAAATTTAAGATCACTAATCATATATAACTCACACATTTATACAACCAT